TTTTGATGGTATGATGTGATTGTGCTACAATTTTTAACATCAAGTAAAGGGCTAGATTACCGAAGGAGGGAGAAATTTTTATTACACAATAATGATTATATAATCTATCTTTGCAGCACTCTCCATATGTCAAAATATGAAGTCAACTGCTCCCAAATAAAACAATTTTTAAAATCATCAATTTCAATTGAAAAYTTTTGTGCAACTCAAGTTTTATTTCGTGCAATCAACTTCCATTGCAAATATCGATGCCTGTTACCGCTATGCGACAACGGGAAATTCTTGTGCAACAAAAAGTGAAAGACAGGAAATTGTCATACGTTGCTGTTATTGTTGTTGTTAAAGTTTGTCACTTCAGTAGGTGTAAAGTAGGCAGCTGATAAGTCGGAGAAGCGAAAAGGTAATGCAACAACCGTTTCGAACAACACTTCTGAACTAAGTTTATTTGCAAAGTAGTTAAAATTGTTTTTTTAGAAACTCGTTTTTATTTGCTGCACTATTCAGTTGGTCGYTCAGGGATATGCGTGTGCCATAAAATTCGCGCGTACAACGAACTGAAAAAGGAGTAAAACTATTTGATTACTGCAYTAAAATGAAACTTTTTTAGTTGACATGCATTTCTCAGCTGCTTCGTCAAAGTTTTCGGATTTTTTCAGGCACATAACGGTATTGATTTTGCTTGAAGTTTGTTTTTTTCAGGAAAAAAGGAAATTCCGCTAAAAATTTTATAGTGTGTACACAAAATATGTGGTAGGTAATTTGATRTAATTTATTTACATAAATTTAGGTATATTTTGATTGGCTTGCGAAAGCTGAGTGGCAACACTTGCAATATATTTCGAAAGAAAATAAAATTTTAACAGTAAGCCTTCGGAAACTTCTTTAGTACATTTATATATTGAGATAGTTTGTTTAGTTTATAAATTTATTAAAAACAAGTAAGGAAGGGCTAAGTTCGGGTGTCACCGAACATTTTATACTCTCGCATGATAAAGTGATAATCGAGATTTCAGGCGTGGTTGTGAACCGATTTCACCCACATTTGGTACATGTCATCAGGGTGTTAAGAAAATATTATATACCGAATTTCATTGAAATCGGTCGAGTACTTCCTGAGATATGGTTTTTGGTCCATAAGTGGGCGCCGCCACGCCCATTTTCAATTTAAAAAAAAGCCTGCGTGCAACTTCCTTCAGCCATTTCTTCCGTAAAATTTAGTGTTTCTGACGTTTTTTGTTAGTCGGTTAACGCACTTTTAGTGATCTTCAACATAACCTTTGTATGGGAGGTGGGCGTGGTTATTATCCGATTTCTTCCGTTTTTGAACTGTGTATGGAAATGCCTGAAGGAAACGACTGTATAGAGTTTGGTTTACATAGCTATATTAGTTTCCGAGATATGTATGGCTTAGTTATGACACTTTATAGGTTTTCGGTTTTCGCCATCTTCGAACTTAACCTTCTTATGAAGCCAAGAAATACGTGTACCAAGTTTCATTATGATATCTCAATTTTTACTCAAGTTACAGCTTGCACGGACGGACGGACGGACAGACAGACATTCGGATTTCAACTCTACTCGTCACCCTGATCACTATATATACCAATAACAATATATCTGACTCTTTTAGTTTTAGGACTTACAAACAACCGTTATGTGAACAAAACTATAATACTCTCTTTAGCAACTTTGTTGCGAGAGTATAAAAAGGTTAAACATCTGACAGCACTTTTCAAAAATATTTGCTTCAAACTCATGCAAAAAGGAAGAAAAACAAATTTCTTAATTCAGAAAGACTTTGTAACGAATTTTTTTGCTGTCCCTGCTTTCTAAACAGTGGCTCTCTACGAATCATAATTTATTTAGCTTTATATAATAATTTTACATATGGCTCAAGCAGCTCCGACCTTTGTCTTTTATGAGTGCTTGGAGCGCACTTATGAGAGCTGCCCCTGCCACGATGTCAAAATCGTGCTTGGCGACTTTAACGCCAGGCTGGGCAAAGAAGGTATCTTTGGCACTACGGTAAATTCAGGCTCCACGACGAAACATCCCCAAATGGATTGAGGCTGATCGACTTCGCCGGGGCCCGAAGTATGGTTATCTATTGTACCAGCGTAAAAAAATACATGAAGCTACCTGGCTGTCTCCGGATCGAAAAGCCACCAACCAGATCGATCATGTTGTGACGGACGAAAGGCACGTCTCCAGTGTTTCAGATGTGTGTGCGCTCCGAGGTCCTAACATCGACTCGGRCCACTATGTTGTTGCAATCAAGATMCGCAMCCACAAAAAACCAGTAAAAATGCACTAACAAAAAATGCACGTCAACAAACATAAAAAAGATTCGACGTCCAGAAGCTGCAATCACAAGAGATAGCCCAACGAWTTTCTACTCGACTTTCACTCTTGCTCTCTGAGAGTACTTGTCAACAACTGGGTATACGGGGTTTGTGGGACGACATTTCAAGCTCCTTACTTACAGCTGCAACCGAAACCATTAGTTTTCGGAAAATGAATAAGAACAGCTGGTACGATGAGGAGTTCCGTGTTGCAGCGGAGAGAAAACCTACCCTACCCTGCCTATGTCGCAACGTTACGATCGACCACAACACGTGTTGGATGGGATTGATACTGAGAGTTGAAGAGGGAAGCGAGATGCATTTGCGAGGAGGTAGGGTAATTGATAAGCCTCACACAGTACTCAACGGGGAAAGCAGAGGATGAGGATGAGCTCCACTCTGTTGGAAAGATCAGGTGGAGAAARMCCTGGCTTCGCTTGAAATCTCCAATTAACGCTAAATTGCGGAAAGAAGAAACGAGTGGCGCGCTGTTGTTAACTCAGTTATAAGCGCTTAAGCGCCACCAGTAAAGAAGACGATATAATAATTTTGCTTGTAGTTACAAGTTGTGTTTAAATATTGTCTMCCGCGTTGTAATGTYGTCACCCTTGGAAAGTGCTGTGGCAGGGTAACGGTGCAGTGTGGCCCGTTAGTGTAATACCGTTCCCCGCTCTTGGGCGCTAGGCAATTTTTTGTTCTGTGCTACGACTGTGGCGTGTGTTGACGCTCGTGTGGTACGACGATTGCGCTCGCCGACTTCTGCTGGCGCTCGTGTATGCTTCAATGACGATGCCTTTGTGTACCTCAATAGGTTGTGTGGACTAAATTCTGTATAGATAATCAGTTCTCACAACTTTCTGCGAACCAATGCCATCCCAATGCTAAAAATAGTTTCCGYTGTAAGTTTTCTGAAACTTCTTTCGTTTGTTGTGTATCGTTGATTTTACAAATTCATTAAAATAAAAATTTTAAACCTCTTTTGGCACTTCTCAAAATGTTTGTGGTTTTAAGTACTTTTGTAAGTTTCCTTAAATGGTTTTAGGTCCACTATCATGCATTATTAATTCTTAATTATTATGAGTTTGCTTATTACAGCATTTTTRAATGGGTGGCAACCCAGCTAAAAATTATTTTGTTTTTTAAGTTTAATGCTCATATGGTGGCTTTAATTTTGAAAGTTTTTAGTGAAAATTTCTAAATAAATGTCACGGACTCTGGTTTCGTATCTTTCGTTTCGTTTTTGGTAGAATTTTGATGAACTTCTACTTTAAAATTTACCATACTTTAAAAGAGAAGTAAAAATAATGAAGAAYTTGCTATATTTTCCGATCTGGAATTTTCGAAATTTCGATTTACACTGATGAAAGTTTTACACGAATAGAAAAACATCTCTAGCGCCAAAAAGTGGTTCACCAAAATGGTACATATACTGTATGCTTATTTAGTTATTACTATAAATATAAAAAAATAAGTTGGAAGTTTGATTAGAAATATGAAAAGACTTTTGCGAATACCCAATATTTATTTGAGAAATGTTTCAATTACATTCTAGTAAATTATTTTTGTTGTTTTAAGACATATTGACTCCATAAACAAACGAAAATTTGTCCACTAAACACAAAGATTTGACACACTTTCGTAATGGGCATACGTAGTTATTGTACTTCCGCTTCCGCCATCAAATAACAGCATGTTTTTTCTGTTTCTTCATTTTGTTTTTTTTTTTTGTTTATTCTCACACTTGCCAAGCCCTTTCCGCTTATTCATAATCAGTTTCTTTTCTATTTCTGTCTTATTTTAGCTGTCAAGAGCAGCATCCTTTTGTATTCGGGCTGAAATTGGTTTTCTTGTTCTCTCCTGATTTTTTCTTTATTTGCCAAAACACGTTTAATTTATGGTTATTTCTTTGCTTTCTTACTCGCAAATTCGTTTTCTATTGTCGTGCTTTTTTCAGCAAAAACTCAAGTTACGTTTACGTGCTGTTTACAGCAAAAGTTCATATTCATTTCGCGCACTGCTTTACTGAAAGTTCTGCTGTACACGGTGACGTGGCGATTTTCATAGCCGTTTTCGGAGTCAATTCAATAACTTAGGGCAGGAAAACACTTTTTACGATTTCCTAAAGTTTTTTCGAGGTTGCCACGTTTTTTGCACTTTTTAACTTCTCTATTTCTTTCAAATGTTCCTATGTTCCATTGTTTGATTTTGAAAAAAGTTAGGTAATTCTTATTAACTTTTGTTTTTGTTGTTGTCGTTGCTGCTTGTGTTTGTCTGTGTCTCTCGCGCTTCCTGTCAGCTTAAATATTTGAAYTTGCATGTTGTGCCAAGCGCCGAGCTAAAAATTGTCTGAGCATAAGCATCTCACTAATTAAAATTAGCCTCAAATATTTTCTGTCATGTGGATGTACAGTGCGTATGCGTAATATTCATGGCCTAGATAAATATCATAAGAGCAAAACATTTCTATGCAATTGTAATCAAATTAATTGTTGATAGTAAACATTTGGCTCAAGATTGGCGTACTGGAAACTTTTAGAAACGTGTAAGGCATGAAAGTTGTACAGGGATTTTTAGATGCCACGGCGTATGATCAACTTTTGGTAYAGTACAATATACAACATGCTTAATATGCAACAAATTACAGCGTTTCGCACTYACCTGTAATATGCTGGTTTTGCCGACGCCAGAGGCCCCCAAAAATGCCGCTTTAAGGGGGCCCTGCAGCCATGGGGGCTCCGCGCCACCCTCCAGAGTGATGCGCTATGCTGAGATGCACTTATTTTGTATGTGAATTTCCATTGCGATTGAGATTTTCGTCGATTGTGTTTTATTGCTGGCGGTTGTTGGTGTTGTTGTTGCTGCACGATTCGGTGTATTCGCTGCTGTGCTTGTTGCTGTGGCTGTGTCTGTGATTGTGGGCGTTGCTGTTGTTGCTGTGGTTTCTCTTCCTCTTGTTGTTGCTGCTGCTGCTGCTGCTCTGACAGTTGCCGTGTCAGTATGATTTGGTGTTGTTGTTGCTGCTGCCTTCCTTGCGTTATGTATTTGCGGTTGCTGCCGTTGCTGCCGATGATATTGGTGATGATGTTGCTGTAATTGCTGCTGCTGCTGATTGTTATTGTTTCCGACATAGTCGACGCTTCGGGTGCTGCCAATAAGTAATTTCTTAGAATTTGTCGGCGATATTGTACTCCACATTATACTCGGCATATGTATGGTTGGCCGGGCGGCTAAAGCGGCGAATACCTTGTAACGAATTGCTGAGCACCCCTTGCCGGTTTCTCTATGCTTTTGCTGTTTTTTGCTTTTGTTTTTRTGCTTGCTTTTGATTTTGCTGCTTTGACGCATATAAATAAATAATTTAATAATAATTGGAATCAAACCAGCTCCCAGCAAYGTTCGCCTTCGACTCAACCAACTTATTGGTTTGTGTTTTCTGCTGTAGCTGAAGTGTAAAAATTAAATCTGATTTCTGATTTGTGCGATTTGTGTGATTTGAGTGCGAAATCAAAATAYCTCCGCTGCWCTCTCAGGCAGGCTGGTTGGCTTTGCTGATTGATTTGATTACTTGGTGTTGTGAAACTTCACTTTTGTTCTTGTACTCATTTGTGGTTATATGTATGTACGTGCTATTTGTTAATGKTGTTATTGTTGGTGTTGCTTGTAGTTACCTCAAATATTTATGTTTGTTTAAGATTATTATTGCTTTTCGTTTTGATTGTTGTTGTTTACGGCGTTACGGCAATTTGYATTTGCTAGCTGTGTGTTGTTCTTGCTATTGTTGCTCTTAAAGTTTTCTTTGCTCAACCAAAGTAATGCGTTTGTGTGTKAGTTATCTGTGTGTGAGTGCTTGTCGGTTGTTGAAAGGATTTATTTGCGATTTATGTAAAGTTGCGTGCTCGTCTTCCGCTCGCTTCGTCTGCTTCGTGCTACTCACACGTCCTTTCGCTKTGCCGGTAATACTTTCCGGAATACTACAAAGTTTACCCAGCAAATTCGCAGGTTRCTGTCGATCTTCGGCGAAGAAATTTATGAATTTTTAGCCATTTTCCACACGTAGCTAGTTATTGTTCTGTTTGCTGTTGCTGACTTTTGTTTTCCTGCTTTTGTACACTTTATTTGTTTGCGACGCTTCATTTATTGCTGTAACGAGAAAAAATTTTAAGAAAAGTTATTTGAAAGTGATAACACTTCTTTTTGAATAAGTCATGAATCCGTTTTTGACATTTGCGTGCCAAATTTTTTTTTCAAATCTATTGTAAACTTTAAGCGACACTATGCTCTTAAGTTTTTAATATGCAAACCAATTTCTGATAGGCTAAGTACCTTACTACGTACCGGATTATTATTTTTTTTTTTGAAAGAATATTTTGGATTCTATATTTTCACATATTTTCTTTTTTATAAAAACTGAGAAAATGCAATATTCATTCATTTGAAGTTATATACCTTACATTACGGCTACTCATACGCTGTGTCAAACGTTTTTTTTAGTATAACTGTGTTGTCTGTTTACTTTTTTATAATAAGAAGATAGCTAGATTAAATTCGATATTGTGTCCTCTTCTAAATCACAAAGGCTCACCTAGCCCCAGCATATTACTAAGTCCAATATACCGCTGAGTACTAGCGAAGCGATGTGATCCCTATTTGAAAACAAGGATTCAAGCGCCTATAACCGGTAGACTGCAATGTAACCAATTAGGAGGTGTTCTGGTATTTCGGCCATTTACGCAAGAAACTAGACCCATGTTGTATAAGAGTCTCTTCAGCTTGCAGTGGTCAGTGTAGAATGTGATATGAAGTCTGAAATTGTTCTTAGGGAGGTTGTAGCCCCCCATTAGCAACTTGGCTTGGCGCGATGCCATGATTGAACAAAAGTTCCAATCTTTTATTTATCTTTCATGTCATTCATATCTAACTTCTGCCGAGGAAAAAACAGCAGAAGTAATAGAGGAAGACAAAAAAAAAAATGAACTTGAAGAAGAATCACTTGAAGAACTTCATAAACCTTCAAAAACTGAGGAAAACCCCACTGAATAGGTACCTTGTCACCTCTCTCTTCCGTCAGGCTTACATTTTAGATAATTGTGGGCAAGTCCAGATTAGATCGTTGAGATGAGAACGAAGCTGAAGATATCGCCCACATTTTGGAAGATAATGCTGAATTATATAAGAAGGAAGGGGAGGTTCAGTTAAATATAAACCAACACAATTGCCGAAAAATTGCAAAGGTTTTTTAATTGAGCCAAATCCTAATCTTCCCAAAAAGTAGAGATCTTTATTTGAGTGAGAATATTTTCATTTCAAATTTTTATTTGGCATTTTCCTTAGGCAAAAGATGTACAAGAATTGTCCTAAAATTCCGCCAATTGAAACGCTCGTATGGATGGTACACCACTGTATCACGAAAAAAAGCCGCTTCTTTATTGAATACATCCTTAAATATACATTTGTTTCTAACATCACGCCACTTGTTACATATGTGCATACATATGTATGTCTGTAGTTTACATATTTTAGATTTACATTTACATTCACTAATCTAGAGTGAGAGAGTCTACGAATACAAGGCTAAAAGGAGGACACAATTGTATTGATCATTCGCATTCAGCAATCAGCTGACTGGTATTGGTTTGTGTCCTTACTAATTATATCTATATATCTTGAACATATCTTGAACATATACTATTACATTTTAGAAAATTATCTTAAATAACTAAATATATGTGTATGTGTGTATGTTTGTATGTTTGTATGTTTGTAATTTTTTGACTTGTCTTTACCCATGCATTTTTATTATTATTGGTACATATATATGTATGTATGTTCAATATATTTAAAAATTGATATTCGCAATGATCGGTGTCCCAAAATAATTCCAAATGCATATAAGACGTGCGTGGTCAAATAAAAAATGCAACATTTTTAAAAAAATCCAAAAAAAAAACAGACTATTTAATCTAGAAAACTGTTGGTAATGCTGGTTAAAGAGAAAGTAGAATTTTTAGTTAGCTTGGTTTCGTTTGCATCTTACATTGCTCCAATTAGCAAGACCTAGCCTCACTATGAGATTTCTCGGATAAGAAATGCTAAATGTCAGCGAGTATCAAGACCAACCATAAAGACGCTTGCTGGATTTATCAACCCTCCAACCAATGAATTTTCTATCAGCCCTCACAACAAATTTCGGTAAGATTCAAAGCTCAATATATACAATAGTTTTGTTTTTTTTTATCAATACTAGGAATTTTTGGTATTACAAAGCATCGGCGTTCTACCTAAAGGATCGTAATAAACTTATCAAAATCAGATTACTTTCGAAATCCACTTCCTAGATTCTCTTTAGGAAGAAATATTTTAGTTCAACTAAAGCTAACATCACACACATTCACAGTTTCTGAAAGCATAAATTTAGAAAATTTTATCATTTCAATGCAAAATTGAGGGCCTCAATTCAATTCCATTAACAGGTCTATCGTAAGATTTGCAAGGGTTTAGAGAAATTAATTTATCTTGGTCATCCATATAGACTTTCACCTTAATTGGCCTCTGAATTTAAGCAGATATTTCTATTTTTAAATTAATTTCGAAATTTCGGTTTTTGTTCTCTCTCCGCTTCGGCCAAGKTGAGGTCAAAAATACCACGTAAAAATTTCTCGAGATCCCGTTTTGCATTCAAGCCCTGTTTTTTAAACTAAAGTTATTTAGTTGCCATTGCCCGTTACAGAAATAACTTTTTAATTAAATAACCGTTACACCATAGCACCTTCCTTTGAGGRTAAATTAATTTTTTGCTTTATTCAGTTCTAATGAGTTTAGTTTGCCCTGAAATATTTTACACACTTCGCATATTTCCATTTAGATTAGCTGGCCGATAGGYCGGCAACTACATGCGAGTCAACCGCATAAATGTGCTTCGCTTTATGCTCGTGTACGAGGCACGGCGTGTTGTCTGTCTCACCGACTTTTAATTTGTCTGCAGTTGATCATTAATTTTACGAGTGCTGTGGCATACTTAAGGGCCCCACTGACACGCTTTCCCACAAACGCCGAAGCAGACTAACGGAAGCGWTTCGGAGATGACCTCGAGAGRGACAGGGGGAGTGGTGGAAGTATGGGGCTACTCGTATAAGCRGAAGCAGAGACAAACCCACGGGACAACGTTGCGGTTCGGCTGTGCGGTGCCGGCCGGAGCTTAGGTAGTCATGTTGACTGACAAGCCTCTGTGAGCAGTGACGACTGCTTGTGACCGCGTATGTAAGGTATGCCTGTRTGTGCGTAAGCTTGTCAGGACTTAAAGTTGTCATGTCAATTAAAAAACCACAACGGATGAGAAATTTATATCGCATTAAAGAGAAACGAAAAAGCTGTGAAAGACAGCTACATGACCACACAAAATGTACAGCTTTAAATGAGGAAAGGAGAGAGAAAGGAAGAGGGAGTGAAAGTGAGTTATGTTGAGGTTAACGTGAAGCCAACAGGATGCAACAACATTGRAGAAAGCAAGGAGAAAAATTACGGTGCTTGCCAAACGTGGATGATGAGCGCCGTAAATAGATTGAATGGGTCTTCCAAAGAATATTATATACGTTGGTAATGATGGAGAGACGTTGTGTGACTCCTGCAATTAATAATAAAAATGMAAAATTTTTTATAACAACAATGATTCGAAGTAAGTTAAGTGAAACTGGGGTGTGTGGAGCCACAATTCGCAATACAAATGCAAATGCGACAGAAAGTTGTGCAGGAAGTTAGAAACAAAAGCAAAGCGAAAGAACAATTGTGCCAAGCGTCCAATTCCAAATGGTCGTGGTAAACAAACATAGCGGATTGACAGCGTTTGGCTAAAAGTAGGCGTCTACAAATCGATTGTGCTTCCTGGGCTTTAGCGCAGACAGTTAACTGACGACTGCGGTTGCGGCAATTCGCACAAAATTTATTCTGAAGGCAGACATCGCATTCTTATACACTCGCCTCTGTGTTTGTCTGATTTGTGCGATTTTTGTGTAATGCCGGAATTTTGTGTTGAGTGCTATAATTTATCAAAATCAGGACAAGTGGGACATTTTAAGTGGGTGTAATATCTACGCTCTACGCTCCAACCTCAGTTAAGGGAGATACTGTGTATCGTCACCTGAGTTTTCGWGTTTTCTGATGATACGTTATATTGCATTTCAGGTGACTATATGTAATATCTGTGCGCATAGGGGTAGTAGGGAAGGAAAGAGTGTGATAAGTTGGAGTTGCTAAAATTAGGAAGACATTAAGACTCGAAAGAGTCGTAATYGGTGGTCAGTTTATTTTTAGCAAAATAC